AATGGACACGAAATTTCATCCGCATGGAGTTTAATTAGTGTAGCTAAAAAAAAATATTAAACAATAATTTAATTAAAAACATAAACAAATGAAAACCAATTGTTCTCCTGAAATGAAAAACGATCGCTACCCAGTAATCGTGTTTCCCAACATGGGGGCAATTTTTTGTTTTAAGGGGTGTTATTTCCAAAATAACTTCTTTAGATTTTTAATCAACTGTGTGCCGATTCANATTATCAAGTATATTAATTTAGATTTTAAAGGTCCTAATTCTAGAATACTGACAAACGAATGTTTTTTTTTATTTTTTTGTTTAATATTAACATGCAAATAGAAAGGGGCTATTCGCGTTTTTATGGAAATTCAACTAAAATTTCAATAAATATTAAATAGCACCGTAAATGTAATCTCATAGTTTTATATAATTTGTTACCAATTCTGACTTTTGTATATCAACACCTCTACAATTTACTCCAAAAATATAAAGAGATGAATTTAAAATAAAACGTGGTGTTTCAACTTTTATATACAAACCATACCGTGCAATTTATAATCCGTTTATTTTTGCAACATAATTTTAATGTTAATGAATTTTATGAGCCCAAGCCGCATAATTTAAGAAATATATTTAATCGCACAAAATTTGATATCTGAGATCAATACAATCGATGATTTTCCTACAGAACAAAACCGCAATATTTCATATGAAATAATATTAATGAGTATTTTGCTATTGCGAATTAATATAACTGATTTATCAGGTGATAGAAAATAAATAGAATGAAATATGAAAAATTATAATTTACATGAGGTAAACTGCATTTTATCTGATATTTGGTTAAATTTGGAAATTTCAGCCAAATCATTGGGAGTTATTTTCTCTTTTTCTGTTATCAGATCTATGAATTTCACTGAAATTTACTCTCCTTTACTTTCCTTGGATAATGATTAATTAAATTCACTTATTTCGTGGTCCGCTTGACCAATTAATTTATTACAATTAATTAAGGTTTTTAGTTGAGATAAAAACGTCAATGGCTATCGTGACCTCAAGTGGTAGAGCAGCGGCGTATCAAGCCGAAGATCGTGGGTTCGCATCCCGCTCGTGCCATTGACTTTTTTATCTCAACTAAAAACCTTAATTAATTGTAATAGTGATTAATGATGAGCTAATATTTCTCACCGATGAATCTGTTTTAGTGAAAATAGTCAACTATTTTGCGATGAAGTACAATTGGGATTTACCAGATGCCCTTTTCAAAAGTACTTTGGACTTGAATCTCAGGTGTCGTGTTCCAACCAACCCTTTAGCGTACACTGATAGTTTATTTATTTATTTTTTATTGTTACTGATTGATGTTATCATATTTGGTGTCTCTTTATATTGGGCTTTAAAGCAGTATAATTTATGGTAAAAATTTAATAACATCACAAGATGAGTACCAGATCAAATAATTTATTCACTCTCATATTCGCTTCAACTTCCCAACACGAAACATGGTTTTCGGGATTTTAATGAAAATTGTTTACTGTGCTTTATGAATTATTCTATAATGATTTTACCAGTAATTTTAAAGTTTATTCAGTGAGCCCTTTAATGTTATAGATTATGTATGTTAGGGGGGACAGAAAGGATTTAAAAAAGTTTAAGTGAGACATGGCACAAAAACGATTGGGAAACACTGCTGTAATCAATATGCTACCAACAGTTATCATAATGAATACAACATATCTTAACGAAATAGTGGTAGAAATTCAGACCCATTTATTCTGACAGTTTCCACAGTTTCTGATGGTTAAAAAGCGAGATATTGATAGACATTGACAATTAATTTTGAAACAAAAAACGTCTCAGCCACTGAGATGAAATTTTGACCCAGTGTTTTTGATGTAATGCACCCTATAAATCAGCGCTAATTATATTAATCTGATGGCTTATTAAACAAATTGTATTACTGAAAATCAGGAAATAATATATAAAATATATAAGCCTTTTTCGTTTACGATTCATTAACTATTCAGGATTAAAATTTTCGGTTAGTCGATATGTTCTAATTAACTTTTGTAAAACAATAGGTTTTTAAAAATTTTGCTGCGGGTTATCCTTCGATCTAGTTATCAAGTCGATACATTTAACAACCATATACTGAAAATATCCATCATCCTTTATCGCCCTGTCCTGCTGGCAACTAAATATCACCTTTAAACAGTTGTGGATTTTTTCCTCAATGAAATTAAAGAAATAAATCAGGGGTGTAGTTCTTCTAGTGAATATATTCAATTTTCGAGGGTGGAAAGCAAAGATGTGGTTCTTTCAGAGCCTCGACGTTGATATGTGAGGTGGTGGCCGAATTTGCTGTTTCCCATCGGCATATCCTGGAGGATTCCGGCCGGGGTCACCGGCTCGAAACTCATTTCCCCCTTTAGACGCACCCTTTCAACCGCCATTATTCAATTATATGGAAGCACCTGCCTTAAAATTATTAACGTCTACGTGATTTGGAAGCAAAATCTCCAGGTCTAGTGGGGCCCCTCCCTTAACTCAACCCCTTAGGTAAATAAATAAACGCAATGCATATCAATTCACGAGATCCTGTACGCCGTTCCCCCGTATATCTTTACCGGGATATAAATTCAAGATATCAGAGCTAAACACAATTTTTCTCGGCGTCCAACGTGGTTTTTTTATTGAGATAATTTGCACCGGTTTTTTTTTCTATCTCTCTTTCATTTTGTTTCAAAGAATCCAATCCAATTTCGTGTTTTCCCCTCCTTTATAATTAGACCGTTTCTGAGTGAAATAAGGGAGAAGAGTTTATCAAAGGTTTTAAGTCGGGACAAAGGCATTGTTGCTCCCGCTAATCTGATTGTTCCAACGACAATGTAAAGCAAGCTCATTGTTATCCGGGAGCGTTCATAAACCATCTACTTAAGGGTTTATCCAGCATAAGAAACGGCGGCTTAGGGACCTTTCCCAACGAGTCTTTCAAGTGGCCATCAATGATAATTGGTCTTTTTGTCGCAATGATATCCAAATTCAGAAATAAAGCAAGTGAACAAACTCAATAAACTGAAGGTAAATAAAAATTTCAAGTGAAACATAACATATCCTGTAGATTTATTGAAGTTTTTTAACAATAAAAAATAACAAGTGATCCAAAATAGAAATATTTATTTATTGTAATGTGATTTGTGGATGTGATCATTAATAGTGTTGCAAAACAAACCTTTTACTTTCAAATATAGAAAATATAGTGTATATACAACCCTTTCTCACTCGCTCCCCTTCTCACTCCCTCTCTCCCTCCCTCTCCCTATTTCTCTATTTTTTAATTTATCCTTCTATTAGCTAATGCCTTTTGGTTTTATTACCTTTTGTTGCGGGTACGAAGTATGTAAATGCTTTGTAATAAGCATAAATAATTCTTTTTTTTTTACTGGGGCTTCCGACATCTAGGTCATTTCAGCCCCAAACTAAGTCAATATGTCAATATTCTATTTACACTTTCAAACACTGCAGTCATACATATAAATACATTCATTCACATAAATACATCCATACTATACACTCATTCCGTTTGGTCGGTGGGATACTTGATATTCCTCCACCGACCTATACTTAAACTAATCAAGATTGGGGTCGATGGAGTACTTGTATAAATATTCCGCCATAGACCCCGAACACACACACTCATACGCTCTCAACTTTCGAGGGGCGATGATGATGTTATATTTCACCCTCACCCCTCGCCATTCACGCTAATAAATACATGAACTCAGACAAAACATATAGACACAGCACATAAGACATAATATATACAATAAAACACCCCAATTTCCCCTAAAAAGCAGAACAGGGGACTCTGAAACTCGCTAACGTGTTCGAGAACTCTTCTTAGTCCGGCCGCATGCCTACACGCTCTCTGTATGGAGCCAAGGCATGACACGTCTCTATTATGTGGGACACATGGAACATCCTTTCTCTGCTTAAGGGGCACCTGCCCGTATGGCCAATCCTTAGTCGGGTAAGGACGATCCATCGTCTCTTGCTCAGTCTCTCTGAGGGCCATCTACCGGTCGTGCTTTTGACTCGCAAGAACCTCTCCGACGACCCGGCCTACTGACCCTGCCATCTTTCTTTTATCATATTTTTTACTGCGTGTTTAGCGTCAGGGGGCCTGATCGTTTTTAGTCCGATCCGAAGGGTGGGACGTACCGGCTTTTGCCGCCTCTTTACCCTCCAGGCCGACCTGTCCGGGAATCCAGACAACAACCACCGTTTTTTCGAGAGGCTCCAGCTCCGCGTATTTCTCTAACAAAAGCACGACGAGAGGGTCCACAGAGAACCTGTCGCGTATAGCCCAGACAGCGCTCAGAGAGTCGGTACATACGAGGAAGGCTGAGCCCTCCCCGGTCCGCACCGCCTCGAGAGCGTGCCAAATCGCACACAGCACTGCCGTGTATACGCTGCAATGAGGGAGCAACGACCAAAAGGTGGTTACTCCCTCGCTATACACAGCACACTCCACACCATCGCCGGTCTAGGACTCGTCTGTAAAAATCAGACGAAAACCGGCGTATCTATTTTTAATTCAAGGAACTTAGACTTGTAGAGGTATGGCGGCGTACACGATTTGGGCAAGTTCGCCAAAGCGTCGCGGACGAGTACGGCCGGAAAGGTCCAGGGGGTGTCGGCCGGCGGCCCAACCGAAGCACCGTCCGCAGCGCCAATCTGGTCCATAAATAATTACGTATTGTTATAACTGTATTTATTTGTGTATTCTTTATAATGACAATATGGGGAAATGTATTTCTATAGTTTTATATTTATTTGTAATATTTTATAAGGGTGTTAATGAATTAAAAGTGGAGGTGACCACTCATAGTGTTGCAAAACAAAACCTTTTACTGTAAAATATAGAAAATATAGTTTGCATACACCCCTTTCTCTCTCTCTCTCTCTCTCTCTCACTCTCTCTCTCTAAAATAAATAAATTACATATGGTTATAACAGTATTTATTTGTGATTTCTTTATAATGAAACATGGGGAGTTGTAATTCTATTGTTTTTCATTTATTTGCAACATGTAAAAAAGGGTGTAACGTACAGTCCGTAAAAATGTATTAGTGAAACGTTGATGTATAATTATCATTGATTATTTTTAACTTTATGCCACACAGGTGTGAAGAGATGTGATTAGGTTGTTGACGTCTGTCTGCAGCTTTGCTTTTGGCGGGTGAAGACAAGTTTGCACTTGGGCTTTCATATCTTTTCCAACTCTTATCATATCTACAAAGTACTGTTTCACGACGGGAACATCTTCTTTGAGTTCTTGGATCACCTTGATGACGTAACGAACGGCACACATAAAACCATGGGGCGAAACTATCGGTTGGCATGTGAATACGGCTTTGACAATGTCGGTACACACTTGGGTGATTTTCGATACTACTCCAACCGAGTCTGAGAAGATTTTGGCGGCATCTACGAAAGCATTGGTGAGGTTAGCACACTTGAAGAACTCCTTTGCGCTGGCAGTCTTCACTTCTTTGAGCTGGGTTTGTGCGGTGGTCATGCACTTTTCAGGAAACATGGGTTTCCATGTGGCTAAATCTTTCTCAACGGAGACGACAGGCTCGTGAATATACGTTAGACTTTTTTTCATCAACGAATCTTTAAAGTTTTTCATCTTCTGTACTCCGTTGAGCACTTTCTGTTTAAATTGTTGTAGCTTGTTGTTCATCCAATCCTTGAATTTTTGCAACAAGGTTTTTGCCTTCGCTTTGTTCCATTGTTCTCGAGCAGCATTGCACTGAAACCAACACATATTTTTTTAATGTCACAAAACAGAAGCGGTACAGCAAAATTATTGCTATAAACACTGGGGTCGGTAGCCGCAACGGTTTTGGCGTTGACACGGCACTCATCACTGTAAGGTTTAGGTCCTGGGTTCGAATCCAGCGGCCCTGTATTATAACCCGAATTACTTAAAAATGGACTTTTTTCAAAAACATTTTTATCATGCCATCGTTTCGATCTTTATTGAGATCATCTTCAGGGCTCAAAGTGTTTTCCGTGTAGATATGTAATTTTTGTGTGTCGTGTGCATTGGGCAGTCTCAACACGACACACAAGAATGATACATCTACACGGAAAACAAACACTTTGAGCCTGAAGATGGTCTCAATAAAGATCGAAACGTTGGCATGATAAAGAAAATGTTTTTCTAAAACCTACATGATACCAGACCGCACCTCACGATCTTCAAATAATCATTGACTAGGGTCGCTAAACACCACACATTTCTACTGTGAGTGAAATTTAAGTAAAGTTAAAAATTTATCGACATAAAAATGAAAATCCAAACTTTTTTTCTCATGTCAGAACAATTTTCAAAGTAATTTTTCGATTGTTTTGATTCCTATAATCTTCTTGCACACTTCTATAGTAATTTTTCTTTTTCTTCAATATAACGTCAACTTTTCAAGTCCCAAAATGTAACTTTGTTAAAAACCTTTGACTAGGTTTGTTCCGATTTTAGAACCTGGAAACTTTTCAAACTTTGCTGCCGTTGAGCAAAAAATCATTTTATTACAAATGCTCATTAATCAACGTAAATTTGTAAGTTGTAACTTGTTTTTACTATTTTCATAATATCCTACCAATGATTTTTAGTTATTATGACAAATATACAAACACTGTTAAATAAACTTTCCAATTGCAACGTTTCTAATCTTTTCTAACTAAAGTTCTTACATCAATTTTAAATGAGCCGTATTATATCTTCGTTAGTACGCTCCAAATTCACTATAAAATCCCTTTTATTATTTATCCAAAAATTACTTTTCAGAAATGAAGAAAGTTCCATAGTGATCTTATGCCCTATCTACCCCATTAGTCTTGCCCAAGCATTGTCCAAAATATTCTATATTAACTGTTCTGTCAAAAGAAAGATATGAGATAATATAATGTTTGGGTTTCTACTATAAATTGAGAAGAAATATTTATAAAAATGCAACTTTGTAATATATAGGAAATTATTTTTTGTATTTCTTAAAAAAAATGTTCACAATAAGGTAAATAATTTGTTTAATGTTCTAGGTTTGCTGAAGCACTAAATTAGATTCTAAGCTTTTGCAAATCAAGTCAATTTTGCCATTCATTGTTTTTTAAATCTACTTTGAATACTTTTCTGATAAAATTTTCGATAAACTGTATTCTACAATTATTCAGTCCAAAATTATTAAATTAAGCTACAAGTTAACACCATATTAAAAATATAACATTTTACATCCTGGATATCTTTTACAATCAATTTTTACAAAATTTTTACTTTTTTCATAACAATCTCTCCACCTTATTTAAGAGAGCATATACGGGCATGTAATGGCGCATATAAATAAATACAAATTAATAAACTTTATGTAATATATTCATTTTTAAGCTCTGCAAAGAAAAAGCCCAGGGAATATAAGAATAATATTTGCCTTTTAATTAATATTAAATATTTTATGTTATTAGCTGACCTTTGCGCTTGTCTTCTTTTGAAAAATGTTTCATAACAAAATTATTCTTTTTGATATTTTCACTACAAATTAAAGTTGTAACTTAATGTTTAAAATGAAACGAAAAGTGAAATGAACTTTACTGAGTTATTTTATTCAATTATTTACACAATCTTACAAAATGTACGAACTGTTTTTAAAAATTGTTTAATTTTTTCAGTTAATGAAAATTTATAGATCACATATGTACGGGGGGGGGCTCACACACAGCAATCATTTAAACATGAGATCCTAACAACCGATTTTAACAACAGTATTTATAAAATTTAAGCATATATTTTTAAATAAATTAAATCATTTTTTAAATGATACTATAAAAAATTATAGAACAATTGGATTGGACGGGATAAAGAAATATTATTTTACTACAAAATTTAGCAATTTAATAAAATGTCTGATTTTGATTTTCAAAACAATATACAGAAAATGTATAAAAGTGCCAAACAAACAAAACCAGCAAGACTGGGCGGACAATGATGACAAACTAACACGGTTAGAAAATCTATTCTACATTTGTACATTTGGGTAAAGATAACAGATATGTTGAAGAAGCATGATTTGAAACATATCGACCCAACTAAGAGAAAAAGTTACAATAGGTAAATTATAATATTAATATATTTTTAAACTTTAGAAAATTATCCATAATTACTTTCAGTAAGAAAAGAAAATGGTTATAACATGTGAGTTTTAATTTACCTCTGCCGCTAAGACGATGATTGCGATGCAGATAAGAAATTTCGGAGATATCATCGCTTCACGAAGGGTATCACGAGTGAACGATTTTTGAAGATGCCCAGGTTTTTATATCTTGCTTTATGATTTGAATTTTCTACCAAATCTCTTCAATTTCCAGCATCGAAAGTTGATTAATTATTTTTTAGTCCGATTCGAGTTGCTCTTGAAATTATAAATTGGTGATCGTTTTAATTAAAATTCGGTTCTTATCTCAAGTAGTTGTGTTTCTTGTTTGAGTTGTTTTAAATTATCCATTTTAAATTATGCAAACTTGTATTGTTTTTGAGAATTTTTCCTTAAAATCTTGGCATCTTTGTTTAGTAGTGTTTTATCATCAAACACAGAAAATTGTAAATTTTAAACTAAAAAAAATTTCAAACCACAAAACCCTTAATAATAAGTAACAGACAGAAATAGTATTAAACTTTTTAAATTTATATCTAATTTTCTCCATGTTATTCGCTTATGAAGAATATAATTCCTATGAATTCTTCTTTTAAATTAATATTTACAATATAAAAGCGTAAAATTATGTCATGTAAATATTATTATTAGATCTCTTTTTAAAATTCCGGTTGATTTAAAACGATAAAATGTTGGTAAATTTTTATACCCCAATTATTTTTCATCTAGAAATATCATTTTGAATTTTTCCTTCCAATCTCTTCAATTTCCAACATTAGAAAATTGATTATTCATTTTTCACACTTTATTAATAACTATTCGGTTCATCACAATATAACACTATATCGACAATCTTCGAAACTTGCTCACCATTAATTATCATGAATTTATATTCCTCCATCATCCTTTCCACTTACTGTGTCACTAATATAAATGATAGTCGACGGGGTACTCACTGTTCGACTGTGGTTCCTCTCAAACGCATCCACGCTAATATACACATTGTCATTCTTCATATACCCAAACAGGGACATAAAAATAGAAATGTTGGAAGCACTATATAAAATAAAACATTTCTGTTTTCTACAAAAATCGAAAAAGGTGATACTCCCTGGCGTGCTCAAACAGAATTCTCGTATCGCAAGGTAATCCTACACGCTCTCTACTTGGAGCCAAAAATTGACACACATCAATAAAGTGGGACAAATGGAGGTACAAAATTATGCATACCGAACAAATACGTTGGTTTTGGCCCAAAAGATATGTATGTGGTCAATATCGCATGGCGTATTCTTAAAGGGAGAGGTATGATCTGTACCTCGATGTAGACCTTCCAAGTGTCACCAATCGATCATATTTGCTTGATCTATGGAAGCTTCTTTGCCGATACGGTCCACTGAGGAGCCATGGAGTCAAGGAATGACATCCTTCAATTATGTGCGTCTCAGCGAGCAACCGCTGCACGCTTTCCCAAAATTAGTGCCCGTTTGTCAAATGCGTATAGCCAATCCTTGGGCCAATGAGGGATGGTCAGAGAATTTTTCATTCACTTCATTTCAGTCCCAAGGTATGCAGGTTTTTAATTTATATTACTTCAGAGTATATTTATATTAATATTTATTAATATATTATAGTATTTATATTAATTCCCCCAAAAATACCTTCCTTCCAATTTGCATTCCATTCACTCAAATAGAATGGTGGAAGTGCTCGAAATTGCTCCATTTCTCATACACTTACAGGTTATAACAACTCTTTTTGATGACCCCCCTTCTCATATACGTTCACGCTATTATATATATTCACTTCCAATATAGGCAAATTTTAAATTCCAAAGTAGTTTACATCGGCCGCACCTACAAAAAATTCAGGCAACGTAGCCAAGAAAACATCAAGGGTATTACCAAAAAAAATAAATTAAATAAATAAATCCACCTTTACTGAAGACGTCACACTACACGCACACACTTTTGATTACGCATCACATATTAAAATCCTACACAACTAATTATTCAGAAATCGTGAGATGCGGTCTGGTGTGATGTAGGTTTCAGAAAAACATTTTTTTTATCGTGCCAACGTTTCGATTTTAATTGAGCCCTGAAGATGATCTCAATAAAGATCGAACGTTGGCACGATAAAGAAAATGTTTTTCTGAAACCTACATCACACCAGACCGCATCTCACGATTTCTGAATAATTATCGATTAACGGTCACTAATCACCACACAATCCTACACAACATAACATGCTCCAAAATCACAAATTATTACAAACATTGGAAATTGAAAAGTCAATTAAAAAATCCCAGGTTCCACGTAACGTGTAACAAACCTCAAACCACTTTATTAAAAAAATGTATGTAAATTTAAAGCAGTTCTAAGTATTACTATTGCATTTTGGTATATTTTTTATTAATAGCTTACATTAAATTTAATTATATGATTACCAGTATATAATTAGTATATAATTTGTGAGTTTTGTTATTTTTCTCTGAAGATGGTGCGTGTGGAAAAGAAAATTTAATTCTTACCAGTCAAGTTGAGTTCCACAAAATTAACTATAAAAAAATCACGCACTATCTTAAATAAAACAGCTCATGTTTTCTTCAAAAATCAGAACAGGAGATCCAAATAATTGACGAGCTCATGTCTGGTGGCACACATCAAGCAATCTTCAATCTGAGCACATACTTTAACCTGGACATAAAAGTATGTACTCATTGTCAACCTCACATGACCTATTCTTAATTGGGTCATTTTGATCTCTTCTTTGATACAGGCTCTCCTAGGGAGCTATCGCAGGGACGCACAATACGCAAAAGCTTCTCTGCTAAGTCCTACTGACACTGATATTTCCATTGGATCATTTTGCATCATATCATTTGAAGCTAATTTTTGTCTTCTAACAGTGAGATAATAATGTAATTGAACTATATTTTATTACATTGTAGATTGCAATCAAATTTTGAGAATCAACTATGCCTGAGACTTTATATCTTTCCAAATACCTACGAAGAAATTATTCAAAGAATTTCCATTTCTTCAATATTTAAGTTAGTGATTTTAAAAAAATACCCTTAAAATCCTCAACCACTAAAAAACACATTCAATAAAAACTATCATATTTTATTTGAGAGGCACCACTGGAAAATGTCATCTAATTATATATATATATATATATATATATATATATATGTGTGTATATATATATATTGTATAGTGTTTTTTCCATTTCTATTTTCTTAAAAGTAAATAATAATTAGATGACATTTTCCGGTGGTGCCTCTCAAATAAAATATGATAGTTTTTATTGAATGTGTTTTATATATATATACTAATGTAAGGATTATTGTATTATAATTGTATTGAACCATTTAACCATTAGAATGAGTATGTTTAAAGGCCGGCCGAGGTAGCACAGGTAACACATTTCGTGTCTTCCTTGGACTCTCGATAATCCTGTCCAAAATATTGAAATGTAACGGAGCCAGAGGGCAGAGCCCCACGTAGTTACTTCCGGGGAGGTTTTGGCAAAGAACCGGGGCTACAAAAAGAGTAGTCGTAGTCACGAGTCAGTGGTTGATACTTGCACAGATTGGTCAGTTGGTTGCGATGATGACTGGGCTAGACCTTTGTTAGATTATGGGCAATGTGGAGACTTTGTGGTGACTTTATTATCGCCACAATGACGGATTCAAAAGAAAAGCCAAATCTGACAAATTATCGACTCTCCGAGATACGCGTTTCTCTATCTCTCTGCTATCGACACCATCTTTCCTTTTCTCTAAATCAACGACATCAGGATTGGGATTGGATTTACCATTCTCCTTCTTTCCTTCAATTATATATATATATATATATATATATATATATAATTCTACTCTTCAAAGATCCTGCCATCATTTTTAAAAAATGTTTTGTTTGGATCAGTTCTGTTGTAAACATGTCCAAAATGATTTCGGTAACGATTCCAATAAAGGGAATAGCACGTATTGTACGAATGGAACTGCCATATCATCTTTGCCAACTTGGTTTTGAGTAAACAGAATGATTATGCTGTTTTCCCTCCTTTTCACAACACACGTCATTGTCCCCCGGCTCGTTAGGTCCATTCAAATTCATTCGAATTGGCAATGCCAGCGATATATTTTCATCGTTATGTTGAGACACGCATTGCTTCTTGCTGCAGGATGACAACTGGAAAATGATTGGTAACAAATCGCGTTAGGAATTATTTGATTATTAAAAAAAATTAAAACTTCAAGGGAGAGAATTACAAGCAACCAAAACGTATTACAAGCTCAATTAGAAATAAAGAGCTACTAAAAGTTTTTAAATTTTATTAATATTCCTTTTTATATATTTTGATCTGTTTAATTATTTATTTTTATTCATTGTAAGAAAATACACTTAATTTTAAAGCTCCAATTGTAAAAATGTGTTCACTCAAAGACACAAAAGCCGGACATTTGTATTTATTTGTTTATTTTCAATAAGAATTAACTATTAAGATTAGGTGACTTAAACCGTGAACATAATATAACTTATTGTTTATCTTTATATAGTGAATACATTTTGCACTCTTTATATTAAAAATAAAGAAAATTTGCTCAATTTCATTCTATCCAGAGGCAACTTGTCGAGGGAGTTAATTGGTTTTTCAAAATTGTTTTCATTTTTAAATTTGAATAAAAAAATTAATTGTTCTTATTTTTTAAAGTATGATTTTAAGTCGAAAGGATTTCGCCTGGACAGATGCTCCGGCCAACGGCAGACAGTCCCTTGTGTGGGCGGCGCTCTACCATCCACGATGGTCTACAGTGGCCTGGAGGGTTCAAACGAAGAGAATGGTGGACCTCCGGGTTCGACGGATAGGGATGTACGTTTTGTTGCTCTTATCACCATTACCTTGGGTGAGCTCTAAAATAAAAGGCTTCATGAAAATAGCATAGTCTCAAGAGGCCCTGCATCAAGTAGAGAGGCATCGAGTCTATTCACAAATCAGCATCTTGCTTGGACACTTGAACATAGGAGTTCTGTTCACAGATGAGTGCCGGTTTGTTTGTAACAATCAAATGACCAAGACTTGTGAGAGAAGACATGGATATAGCTTTGCTTTATGTGAGATGCTTGAGTCACAGCCATTTCAAAGACTGCCAGTTAAGCCAGGAACACACTTACCCGATGCTACCCGACGCCTTGCCACGTTTTGGTGGGGTGTGCA